AGTACACACACACAGCAAAACTATAAACTGGAGGTTCCTCTGAGGTGCCTGATCCTCTGTCCTCACCCTGCTGGTAACTGGGTAGGTGACTCAGGGAGACAGTTGGTGGACAGAAGGAAGCGGCTCCATAGCTAAAAACAGACCGGAGGCTCCATTAGTCACTGGCCAGCCAGGAAGGCCAGGGATGCCCCCAGGTCACTGTCCTCTGGGCCAGTCCCAAGGTTGCCCAGTGTCACTTAGGTACACAGAGAGCAGCTGGTCCTTCCTCCTTGCTGGCAGCCAGCTCAGATAAGCGTCTCCGCTCTGCTCCATGCCTGCTCTCCAAAGAGTGACCCCTTCTTTCAGGGTGGCCTTCTATATACAGTTCCTGTCATTGGCCAACACCGCCCCAAAGGAGCCCCCAAAGCCTGAGTCTGGTTAACTGCGCCGCACAATCCCTCTCCGGCAGTGCCATGCTGCCTCCGCAGGTCCCCACTGTGAGGCGTTCACAGCTGTAGGGGCTGCACTTACGTACCTTCACCTCAGAACACAGGGTTGGGGGCAAGGGCTGTGTCCACCCGGTTCTCTTTACCTCTGCTCTACCTCGGTAACTAAAACACGTTAGGGGTGTGGTGGATGTTTACCGAGTGGATGGCGCCTCGATTACCCATGCATCCTTCACCGTGGGTTATCTCAAAGGACCCCAGGGACTCCCTCCCTCGCTCAGCACTCTCCGGGGCTTCTGGGTAAGGGCATGCATTGGGGGTCTCTCTCTTCGCTGACTCAAAGCAGCTTTCATGCCCACCCTCTCTTCTGCCCGCACGGCCCTCCACTACTATCCACGGGGCTCTCTCCTTCTCACTCGCAGCCTCTGTCAAGCATCCTCAGATAAAAACTCCCTGACCACTGTCTCCTTCCCCCAGCCAATGCGGGCTAAGGTCAGTGCCTTTTGTCCACTAGAAGCCCCCTGAGACCAGGGACTTTGTCTACTCGCTGCTGTCCCTTGCAACTGCCACCCTATGTGGAACACCGCAGGGCCTCCTGAAATAGCCAAGTGCAGACTCAGGAGCCTGCACCAGGCTCTGCCTGGGCCTCTCATGTGACGTGGACACTGACCTTGGAAAGCAGGTATGGTCAATACCCCGTTTTACAGACAGGAGCCTGAGGCTCAAAGAGAGCAAGTAGGTGGCTTTGAACCTGGAGTTCCAGGTGCACCTTGAAGTATCTGAGTTCTTCAGACTCACTACTGCCTCTGCTAAAGCCACTGGACACAGCCTCCAGTCTCTCCCTGCCTCCAGTCTCTCCCTGCCTCCAGTCTCTCCCTGCCTCCAGTCTCTCCCATTTACTCATCTGCCTAGTGGCAGATATCAGTCAAAAGCATGAATATTACCATGCTCTCCCTCGGCTCAGAACCCTTCTGTGGCTCCCTACGGCCCTGGGTCAGCCTGATTATTTCCCCAGAAATGATTTCCTTCAACATATGCAAAACCTTCCTAGAATGCGCTCAGGTAAGCTTGCTTTCAGGTTCCTGTGCTCTCTTTGCCCCGCCCCCACACCCTCCCCGCTACCCTAGAAAGCCCTGCTCCTCATGTGGCCCCACCTGGGATGTCACTCCCAGAACGATGAGGCTTCAGGTTGGTGACTCGTTCCTGTCCCCGTGGTCTCCTGAGTTTTCTTCCAGCTTCTCCCAGCCCTCACCCTTCCTCTAGGGTCCCAGAGGCTGTGAGCCCCTGCCTGGAGACTGGCCCAAGGAAACCTCACCCATACTGCCTGACTCACATCCCAGGTTCACTGGGAAACCCTGCGCCTCGGTTCCCTTAGCCATGAAATGCTAGATGGGTAACACATGGAAATTCTCAATACAATGCTGGGGTTCAGGAAGTGCTTCCTCTCGAGGGGGGAGAGAGGGAGGAGAGGCAGGTGCAGAGCTGCTTCACAGGCAGGAACCAGCCCCCCCCCTCGCAGAACAACCCTGGCGGCCTTACTCCCTCTGGGCGGCCAAGCTAGGGCTGCGTCTTTTCCCACCACTGCCTGGTTGGGTTCAAGGTGGCCAGAGGAATTCAAGGCCACTAGACTCAGACAGGAAAAGGCAACGTCACCAGTGCTGGGGTAATCCAAACCAGATGTGGCCTCGGTGGCTTCCAGACCCAGGGGGTGGTCACTGTGGGCCTGGCCCAGGCCCAGAGGCAGGAAATGGCCTTGGAGGAACACTCTCTGGGCTGGGCCCAGCTAGGAGGAGGGTCCACTGGAAGCGCTTAACCCTTCTTGGCCCAAAGGAGTGTCCAGGCCCAGCCCAAGGGAGGCACACATATCCGTGACACAGGAGACAACCACTGTGTTGTTGTTGAGACCAACACTGTGCAGGACCAGCCATGCCCTTGAATTGTGAGGGGCAATGTCTGCTCTTCCTGGAGTTCAGGAAGCTCATAGCCTGGCATCCTGGGGATGGCAGGGCCCTAGGCCCAGAGCCCTGGACATGGACTACACTCTGGGAGTCTGCTGTCAGCTGTGGACTCTTGCCTCCCTTAGTGCATGCAGCTCTAGGGTACAGACTCCTTTCTCCCAGTGGCAGCCAGGGACAGAACCCAATTGAGAGCAATAGGGCTCAGGTCCCGATCTCCAGAGAGGCAGATGCAGCTCTGTAACAGGGCAAGGGCTCCAGCTTTGCCTGAGTGTGCTCTACAGGTTTTGAGAGACCAAAAAGTCCCTATGAATCTGGGCATAGTGGCGTATGCCTTTAGTCTCAGCACTTGGGAGGCAGAGCCAGGCGGGTCTCTGTGAATTCAAAGCCAACCTGGTCTATACAGTGAGTTCTAGGACAGCCAGGGCTACATAGTGAGATCCTGTCTTGAGAGAGAAAAAGTCCTCATGAAACGCCATTCTCCCATCTATCTTGTCAAGTCTAGATTCTCCGTCTCCAGGGTTCTGAGAGGCCCAAAGGTGTCTGATTACTCATGCAGACATGTGTCTGGGAGAAGGTGACAGGGTAGACTTAGGGTTGGAGAGTGAACACCCCTGCCTATGGTTCTCGGGGGGCTTCTTGCTCCAGAAATATTAACTTATGTGGCCTTAGGCAAGTCATCTTTCCTCTTTGAACCAGTTCCCTCACCAGAGGCGTATAGACGAGCCCCCATCCTGTGTCTCAACTGTCACGAACGCCCCTGAGAGCTGCAGAAGAAAGAGCTAAGGCTGTGATCAAGTTATAGAGACTGAAACAGAGCCGGGTGTGGTGGTGCACGCCTTTAATCTCAGCACTCAGGAGGCAGAGTCAGGCAGAGCTCTGTGAGTTCAAGGGCAGCCTAGTCTACATAGTAAGTTCCAGGATAGCCAGAGCTAACAGACAGCTCCTGTCTCAAAAAAAAAAAAGAAAGAAAGGAAGGAAGGAAGGAAGGAAGGAAGGAAGGAAGGAAGGAAGGAA